GAAGCTGCACCTTAACTGAGTCATCATATGAGGTTTGGAAGAACAGCACCGAAGAAGGTGTTATGTTGTCTTCATTTTCCTTATAAAATTTAGACAACTGCAATATCCGCCCTTCAAGAGAATTGCTGTAAATCGCGACATTTATCCATAAAGAGAAGGAAACATAATAATGCTAAGAGGAAGAAAATGAGACGATTAATAATGTCACCTATTCAATTGAGGAAATGAGGTGATTTTCTGACTGTGGCGGAAAAGTAGGAAAGCTACTCGATGGTAGCCAGTTCCGCAAAATGGGAGTGGCTGCACGTACTTCACAATCTTAAAGAGATGAGTGAATCACCATGGCTATTAGAAAAAAATAGTGCAATTGCGCCCATTCCATGTCTATGGTTTACGAGACCAAAATGTTGCACGACATTACGCACACAAGAGTAAAACAAGATGAGTTCAGAAAAAGTGACCTCTTGTCCATCCTCAATACCTTTACCATCAGGAATGTTAGCGATCAACCACTGCGCAACAGAACCTTCCTTCTCGTACGGATTTCCATCTAAGTTCAACATCACTAACGTGTTATAGCAACCAGGCTTGATCGACTCAATTTGCACCTTAACATAACTAAATGAAGTTTCGAACAAGATAAGTAGAGTCAAGAAATATAAAAGCTTGGAAGTCGAAGGAATCTGAGACTGTAGAATTACAAATCTGATAGCCGCACTTCGAGAATACCTTTTAAAATTTCATAAATCCTGTTTTAAATTTGATTATCACTTTTTAAGCTTGGAACAGGCTTTACAATCAACACGGATTTGATAGGTTTCAGCTGACATTAGGGACTGTCTATTTGAAGTACAAATCATTTTACATATATAAGACGGATTTCTACCAAATAGTGAACAACCTCATGTTCTTCCGTCAAAAGAAAGTCAACTCAGAAGTTCAAAGAGTAAAAATTTACGCTAAAAAGCAAATTTTCCCAAAAATTCCAAAGTATGACAAGAG